AACGATTGCGGTTAATTAGCCTTTTTGTTCTTCTTTGCTAGCAACGCGATTAATCTGCAAGATTCAATCTGGGCGCACGCGCCTTATCGGTCGAATTCAAAAATATAAAAAACTCATTACATTTTTTTAGTGAAGTGCAACGGGGGGTTTGGGTGGTGGTGACGGTCAAGTCGATTTCAGCATCATTATTTCTATTTGCGTACACTCATAAATCTTTTTTCTCAAGCCCGTGTGATAAATTATTAAAAATGAACGTTGTTGTGCACATAAGGTGTGTGTGTGTGCGCGCGTGTATAAAGCAATTGGTATGGGAAATGTCCAAAACCTCCTCCTCCTACTAGTTCTATAATTTGAGTGGATTATGGAATCATTATTGATTTCATTAATTAGTAATTCACTTTTCATTTGTGTCAGTTTCAGTGAGAAGAGGAGAGAAAGAGAGAAAGCATATCGGTATCTCTTCTAAATATTCTCTGTCCTGAATGCATACCTTCGAATCACGAGCTCATCAAGTAGGTGTTTGTTTTTAATTTACGCAATTTGTCTCATTCAAAACTAATTGAAATGATTTATGAACAGGCTACATAGACTTGCGAGTATCCAAATAGATGGATAGGTGAATGGGAGAGGTTTCATGGATGTCATGTCACTGTCGTTGCGAATGCATTTCGAGCGGATATTTGGTAGAGTAATCTCAGCAGTTCGGTCAATATTTGAGAATGGAACTTGTCGGGGAAAAATGATTCCCAAACTCGATATCATTGAAATCAAATTAGATCATTTTTTGTCCTGTTTCTTTTAGAAAATTAATCTGTAAATGAATGAGACAAATTGAAATCTTTACGAATGAAGTGATTAAATGGCGATGCATTGCAAGGATGTAATACAGCGTCCTGGATACCGCTCACTGAAGCAACCAAGTCAGTTAACAATTGACAACAATTAGTGCTGTTGTTGTTGTTGTTGTGTTTGTATTTCACATGAGTCTGAATCCAGACTAGGCCCAACAAATCACGGTACGTTACCAGTTAGCAAAAAAGAGAAACTTCCAAGATTTGTTCTGCGGGGAATACTGCCAGGTTGCCCAAACCAAGGCGTGTGATTTTTTGGGGATATTCACAAACGGAGCTTTTGACTTGCCAAAGCCTGACCCCTAAGGTAGCGGAGAAGTGTGCGTGAAAACCACACTCCGTTGGCGGACGGCTTCCAGTTTGTTGAGTAGGGCTTCCTACGTGGAATCTATTTGAGCATCTGATGGTATAGGAGCATTACGTGAATTGCAGAGAAGCGTTGAGGAGCCACAACCCAAGACACCCAGCCCGACTATACCGATGCTAACAAATTAGTGTACTCATTTCCGGAGTTTTACATACAGAAGGATTTATCACCGAACTGGTCGTGGAAGCCGGGGTGAAACCGCAGAATATGTGAAAATCTGATGAATCAAATACAAGATAAATATTCTTTGTTACTTTCAAATTCGGAATCAACAACGGTAGTGGTGAGAACAAGGCAGCACACAAACGCAAATTCCACATAAACATAGTTAACCGATGAAGTTTGCGTAACAAAGCGAACAAAAATAAACTGCACACTCACTTTATTCAAAACATCTTGAGAAAAAACAAACTTTTAGCTTAACTCCGTTTCGTGGACAGCTGTGTTCGGGCAAATATGATAGTCCTACAGGTCAAACAATTTCAGATTTTTAACCCATGTAATGCGGGTATGGACATGTTGTTTGCAATAAATTATTAAAAATGAAAACTTTAGCAGAAATAACGACAAGGTTTCATGCAGAATTCTTTATTTGTGAATGAAAACCATTATATGTGAAGACAGTGGGCCTAATGCGATATTTACAATATAACGTACATCAACGAAAATTTCTGTTTTCCATAGAAAAAATAAATAGATTTAGATTTTATCCCATCCCAGGCAATCAGGTCAGCTGTAAACATGTGTGATCGTTTAGCCTGTACAGTTGAAGATAGCATATTTGATTCATGTCAATCAATAAAAATGAATAATATCCATCTAATAACTGTGTTTTGATATGAGTTTCGGTATGAGTTTGTGTGTGTATATCGTAAAGGAAGCGTGAACTGAAAAGCTAGGAGGCTGTGGACAGCTGTTTCTACCTGGTTGGGCCTGATCATCAGTAGTACGAATCCATCGACCCACCTGGAGATCGAACCCGGAATCTGTGGCCCTCAACATGTTCGCAATAATAGGTTGTGCTATATCGTGTGAATGGAAAATTAAGAACGGTCTGATCAGCTGCTGCCCGGTGAACGAGTGGGTATCATACTTGCCTTCTGCCCATGAGGTCCCGGGTTCGTCATCCCCCGTTCGGTCGATGGATTTGCACTGCTGATGAGACCCGACCAGGTCGAAACAGCTGTCCAGTGCTTTCTAGCTTTTCAGTTCACGCTTCATTTGCTACTTAAAAGACAAATTTTCATTTGAAATATATATATATATATATAAACATATCAGATAACCAAACGCCGAACGAACCGTTTGTTTACGTGCTACTAATTATTTTGTGATTCATCTGCTCAATTTTATCGTACAAGTTAATAATAGTTTGATTAACACGCTATAGAAAGGTAACCTTTGCTTGGTCGTAAACACTATAACTTGTCAGATCGCGTACAGAAGGCTCGATTGGCATTTGCCAACTTGAGACATCTGTGGCACCGTCGCTATATCCGCCTTTTTGTGAAGGGTTGAGTGTATGCTGCGCTATTTTGACCATGGCGCAGAAACTTGGCCATTAAGGAAACAGGATAAAGGTAGACGGTCGGTGTTCGAACACCGATGTCTACGCAACATTGCACGAATCTGGTGGTGCAACCGGACGAGCCATGCTGAGATTAGGCCCAGAGTTATAGGTAAATGCGGTTGCCCACTGCAGCAAGTGATCGACCTCCATAGATTACCTTGTTTAGGGCATATGCTACGCATGTCACCAAATAGGTTGCCTCCGTGAGCGATGTTCGCCAATCAAAGGCTACCAGTAGAAATACAGAAAAAGAGGAAATTTACGCCTCTGGCTTAGTTCGGACACACCGCAATCGAGGGGCTGTTGTGAATACTGTATCCGCTTGATCATCGCAAAAGTTTTCGCTGGAAAGTTGGAGATAGTAGTTTAAATTGAAAACCGAAATCGGTCAATCAAGCAAACAGACTGAGAGAGTACGTCATGATAAAATAAACCGCCTTCCCTTGTTCCCTTTACGCTTGGAGAACTTCTGATCCATTGATTTCCAACTGAAAGTTATTTATGTTTTAATTATTATTCTGGTCAAAACAAACGCAAGACTGACTGTGGTCTGTAGGGTTTTGATTGACAGTGACTAGAATAATAAAAAATCCCCCAAGCCTGTGTGACTTTTTGTCTACGATTTTTGATCTGATTCTGAATCATGTGCTCAATCCCAATATACGGATCAAGTGCACCCAAATTCGTAAATCCCACCCCCTAAGTCCGGTTAAAAGAACACTGTTCTTTATCTTTCCTCAGTCGGGAAATGGGATAGAAATTGGCAGTCACGTTGCATGGGATACAGTTTTCTAGGGGATCCACCCAAACACTTAGCGAAAGCCGCTATTCAATTGTAAAAATGTCTTTTCGTAATCAAACACTGCGCATGTGGTATCAAAG